TGTGTGTGTGTGCATGCATTTGTGTGAGAGTGTGCTTGCGTGACGATATGGAAAGTTTGCTCCTTATTTGACCTCAAAGACTGCAGGGCAAAAACTAGGACACCACAGTAAGTACACAGTAGGACACACACATACACACACACACACATACACATACTCAGCAGATTCATATAAACTTGGATAAAGCACACTGAGAAACTTGTTAGATGTAGTTCAAATGTGAACCAATGTGAAATGTTTGCTGACATGGTTCCCAGTGTTTTTTCCCACTCCAGCCACAGTAACAATAAAAGACACACTGTACTATTGTACGTATCCTGGGTTCTTCACTCAACAATTCTCACTAACAAATATTTCTTTTTTATTAGGACATTCAGATTCATCCCCAAAACATCTACTAGGGAGCCTTACATTCCACATATTTTCTAAATTTTAATCGTACAGGCTAAAATCTGTAAGAGATTTAATTTGATACAGTAGTCTATTTGTAACTGGCTTTTGTTAGCTGAAAAGGGTATAAACACCACAATTTTGAGTGGTAGTTAATGTTTAGAATCTGCAGCCAAACCAGCTGGACCGGGGCCAATTACTTCCGATTTAGTAAGACGATAAAGTGTGTCACTGTCTTCACATTATCAAATAACTCGGACTTAATTATAATTCTTTCAAAGTTACATTTTGACAGTTGCACATTTGTCCACAGTGGTGAAAATGACAAATTACTAACTCAGTAAAAATATCCTCTTGACAGCTCTGCACTGTCTTGAGCTAACGTTAGCTTCACAGATTGACAACTTCTGCTATGCTGCAAACCCTGGAGGCCAGAGTTCAGAGTTTAACAGGGAGATTCTGGCTGTTCAATGTTCCATTAGTCCCACTTTAATACTAGATATCTGCAGTAACTAGCTGTTAATGGGGTCTCTAAGAATGATGAGACATGAACATTTAGAGTCAAGACCGTTTCCAAAAGTCGCAGGGACTCTAATTCCACGTACACGACATGGCCAATAGTACTTATTTCAAGACCATGGCAAGTAATATGCTGCTACAACAGCCTCCACTCTACTGGGAGGGCTCTCCACCACTGCAGAGATTTGCTCCCATTCAGCCACAAGAGCATTAATCCCAGAAATGGCAGGTTCTTCCATACCAAACTAGTAAAACCATGGACGTCGCTTTGTGCAACTATGCACTGTCAAACTGTAAAATATCATTGTTAAGAATAACAACTATGGGTGCTCGTCCAAACTAAACAGCACTCAACCAATGGTACACCTTGGGAGGATTGGATAACATATGATAATTTGAGAACAGGTTTAAATGCATACAAGAAGCATTAGGCCTTGTTCAGACTGCCTACCCCAATCTGTGTTTTTTAGCATATTAAGGGGTCACTCAAATTGGATTTCAAAGTGTTTTTTGCAAGTCTTTTGCATCACTCACAACACAGCACACAACAACGATGTCAAATTCAGAGTAAATGAAGTGCATTAGAGCAGACAACACTGAACCAGTCTTCTGTTGCTGACTTTTTCTGGTGTTAGGGAGAAGTTCTGCAACACGACTTTTCAGCGCAGTTGTTTGGTTGATTATGGATATTTTCTCATGCTTCTGCGTTGTAAAGCCACGTCACCAGCATATAGTTACTGACACATATACCTCATAACCACAGAAACCCATACAAAAAGGGTTGGTGTGTGTCTGGAGACACATATCTAATTTTATCACTTCCAAATAACAGTTCAGACAGTTTGATTTAAAGATCCGATTTGAGAAACAAATCTGACTTGTCTGAAGTTGGAACAAAGTCTCAGAGAGAGACTGAAATACAGCCAGATGTTGTGATGGTCCTGCCACTAAATGATCTGTGGGGTGAGGGCACGCCGCTTTGGCTGAGCGTAAATAGTGCGAACGGTGTCATTTTGTAGTTTTGATGTGTACAGAAATTAATATCAGGACCAGCTGTCCGTTCAGCAGGTGAACATGACAGTCATTGGCTGAGAATTACAGTACCAGCCTGTTTATCCCTCCATCTTACAATCCCTCCTTCCTTCTGTCCTTGCTGCCTCTTGTCCTCCCTTCCTCTCGTCTTTTCTCCATTCTCCAACCTTTCTCTCTCACATCCTAAACTCTTCTTCTACACTCATGAAATCATTCTTGTCCACGCCCCTGCAATCTAAGCTCTTGGGGGCTGATCTCCTTCAAGGACAATAAACCTATAAAGCAAATCACACACACACACACACCAAACAGACACTGTCCTACATACACATTTAAGTATGACACCACATAATGAATTCACACACTCTCTTGCATACGCAAACACATATTCACACACAAACATCATCTAGCACATGCAGTTGTACACGCATGTGCTCACAAACATGCACCACCGGGAAGTGCAGCGCTGCCTCCTAATGATTGCCTTCCTCCCTGCTTTACTATCTTACTTTCATCTTTTATGTCATTATCCAACCTGTACTTCACTGCTGCTCTTACCACACATTTCCTCCATTTTCTGAGAGTTTG